TGAAAATGTTTTACATTTGCATGATTGAAACAAAATAATAATAATAATAATAATAAACAGTTACCAGAATAAATGGAAAACTGACAACTACGTAAAGTGTTGAAATTGTCCAAAACCCAAAGCTAAAAGTTTATAGATTGTTCTGCACACAGGGCACATTCAATGCTTTCAACTTACCCAGTTCTTGGGAGTAGCCTGTTTTTTTCCCTAATAAAGAAGCAGTCAAATTTGAAGATAATTCATAAATTCTGAAGCTGTATCTGACCCCTGGTCTGAAAGAATCTAGAAAAGAAAAGTCAGCTGATTTTCAGTATCTCAGAATGACAGTCTCTATTTCTGAAAAGAACGGAAAATGAATTTGTGTTTGTTGCATAATTTCATGCTCAGGACTTTTGCACTTCTCGGGCAGTATCTTTCTTCCATTAGGCCTGGAGTCCTTCGTGTTGCAAACACCTCACACCACCATCTCCACCCCAAGCCTCCACAACCTCCTCTTGAGCAAGAATTCTCTCTCAAACATGCCCTTATCTGTGTGCATGAAACTGGGTACAGAATTAGACCAGACACATGCAGTCATTTTAAATCCCCTTCCAATCACCTGCCTTTTCTCCTCATTCAAAGCCACATCTTTGAAAGCTTTGTTTCTGCTCCCTCACTTTCCCCCTACACCTGTACTTATGCAATCTGCCCACAGCACCCATAATTCCACCAGAACAGCACTCATCAGCGGTCCCAACAAGACTTTGCCTCTTCATTCTTCAAGGGTGATGCCCTATAGGGCCCTTTACCACCTTTTGCATGAAAACAATTCCCACACCTTTATCTTGGGCCCAGTAGTCAGCACCATCAATTCCTCTCTCAAACCACAAACCTGGGCTCCTTTGACTTTGCTATACTCCAGTGGCTAGTGAAACTCACTGCCACTGAGCCGGATCCGAGTCATAGCGACCCCTCCTTGGGTTTCCAAGATGGTATCACTATGGAAGTAGATTTCCCAACCTGCCTTCCAAGGAGTGGCTGGTGGGTTTGAACCACCAGCCTTCTGGTTAGCAGTCAAGTGCCTTAGGCACTATGCCACCAGAGATCCCAGTTGCTATTGAGTGGATTCCAATCCACAGTGACCTCATGTGTGTCAGAGTAGAACTGTGCTCCACAAGGTTTGCAGGTTTACTCTTTGCAGATCATCAGACCTTTCTTCTGAGCAGCTTGTGGCTGGATTCAAACTTCCAACCTTTCAGTTAGCAGCCAAGCATGTTAACCATTCGCATCACCTAGAGACTGACTCTTTTGCTAAACTAGCAATCTTCAAATGGCAAATCCAGTGTGGGAGATAAGAGCTCAAGTTCTAATGTTTTATTAAAATTGAAGGAATTAATGACGGCTCTTATCTATTCTACATCCCAAACACCTACTAAATCCATCCACCCCTCTGTTTTTCTCACAGGTCTCTGGGCAACTGTTAGGTATCAGCCCTCTGCTGTTCATTTGAGGCCACTGACTTAGAGGAAAACATACACTAAGAAAGCCATGGGAAACCAGTCCCTGCCTCAGGTCCAGATTTAAATGTCAAATCTTAGAACATAGCATTATAAAATCTGAACTCCTACCACCTATGCTGGATTTGTAATTTCAAAACTATTAGCTAAGCTCAAAGTATCTGTGTGGTAGTTCAGAAATCCTAGTTGAATGTACTGCCAATAGGACAAAGCAAGATGGCAATGTGGAAAATTTTCCGTACCTGAGCTGACGACGGTACTTGTGGTGTTCGGGCCTAGTTTTTTCCACTGGAGACCACAGAGCGGGTCCTGGGGATGGTCACACCACTCCACAACATAGCCTACAGCATCTCCAGATTGAGGCTTCCAAGACAGAGAGAACCCATCTTCTCTGCCTTCAACTCTTTCTTCTTTAATCTCTTCTGTATAAAACAGAGCCATGCTTTAGTTTTAATTAACTGTAAATTTTAAAAAGAGCCTAAAGAAAACTATTAACATGAATGTGCAGTGTATTTAACAGGTTACAGGGGATTCTTGGGTGGTGATGTGTGTGTGTGTGTGGGGGTGTGTGTGTCACGGCTCTCACTTCCTAGCATATATTCACACTTGACCTTCAGATGTCCCTTATCTTGACCTTCTGTGACCCAATCAGGCATTAGCACCTACAACAGAGTCAGCATTCTACAGGCTATGGGACAAATCCAGCCTCTGGGGCTTGTTTTTATAAGAGGAATCCCCGAGTGGCACTATTAAGTTCTTGGCTACTAACCAAAAAGTGGGTGATCTGAGCTCACCCAGAGATGCCCCAGAGGAAAGCCCTGACAATCTGTCTCCGACATGTCACAGCCTTGAAAATTCTACGGCACACGGTTCTACTCGGAAACAATGGGGTCACCAAGAGTCAGAATTAACATGATGGCAATTGGTTTACCAGGTTAAGCTAAGAATAGTTTTTACATTTTTAAAGGATTGTTAAAAAAGAAAAAAAAAAAGACAAGAAAGAATACAAAATATACTAAAGAGACCATAGGACTCACAAAGTCTAAAATATTCACCCTTTTACTGAAAAAGTTTGCTGACCCCTGGCCTAGAACTGTGTCTGATGCTCAGTCTGCTTTAAAAAACAAAACAAAACAAAAAAAACAATTTCATGTTGAATGAATGAATAATGTACCTTGATATCCCCCACAATAATGCTGGCTGCCCCTGAACTACGTATTGCCCCAGTGATGTTAGATGTAGGAATTGAGGTGGTGACAAAAAAAAAGGGGTGTGTGTGTGTGTGTGTGTGGAAATTCAGGTATATACAAAATCTGCTTATGCAAGGATGGGCCTTCTCATTCTCCAAGGGTGATGCCCTATAGGGCCCTTTACCACCCTCTGGGTGAAAACAGTTCCCACACCTTTATCTTGGGCCCAGTAGTAGGCACCATCAATTCCTCTCTCAAACTATAAGGAAATTCATCTTCCCACTGAAAGGGAAGATGCCTTTTTTCCTGATTGAACTGTGTCCCCTCAAATTATGTATTGCCTATGTATGCCCCTTTATCTATTGACGTGATCCTGTTTGGAAACAGACTTTTCTTTTGTTATATTAATGAGGTCATATCAGAGTAGTGTGAGATCTAAACCAATCACTTCTGAGTTATATAAAAAGTAGAAGTGGCACAAACACACTCACAAGGGGAAGAGAGACACACAAAACAGACGCAGCTACAAGCCCAGGGAAACCAGTAAGGCCCAGCATCCAAAAGCCAAAACAGGCAACAAAGGACCTTCTCTCAGAGCCACACTCTGAATTTGGACCTCTGGCCTCCTGCACTGTGAGGAAATAACCACTGGTGGCAGCATTAAGTAAGCCCAAAGCAAATAACAGCACTCAGCAGTATTGCTTTGGACTGGGCCCCATGAGAGGCATTCTACCAACTCCCCCAGGGTGAGTACAATGCCCATTTGTTTCCTCTTATGCTCATCCTAGGAGCTCTGGTAGCATAGTGCCTAAGGCACTTGACTGCTAACCAGAAGGCTGGCAGTTCAAACCCACCAGCCACTCCTCGGAAGGA